TGGAATTATTTGAAAACCACTGCCATTAGGTCTTTGAATGTCTAGTATAGATTCTATACTGACTGCATCCAGTCTTGAGCTTTTCTAGTTGGAAGATTTTTAATTATCACTTCTATTTTCCTAGGGGATTCCTGTTTATTTAAATCACTCATTTCACCTTGATCTAACTTTTGTAGGTCAAATATTTATCACAAAATTTAAAATGTCATTGACTTTTTGAATTTCACTGTTATATGTGGCAATGTCTCACTTTTCACCTCTAATTTTATTAATTTGGATCTTTTCCCTCCATCTTTTGATAGATTGGATGAAGGGTTTAATCTTGTTGATTTCTTTTTTTTTCAATGAAGCACCTCTTTGTTTCATTTTTTTGTGTGTTGTTTTCGCTTGCTTATTTGTTTCTTTTTTTATTGGTCTCAGCCCTGATTTGATTATTTCTTCCCATCTACTCTTTTTGGGTTTTATTTCTTTTTGTTATTATAGAGCTTTTAGGTATGTGTTTTAATTACTAATATGAAATCTATCTATTGTTATACTTAGGCACATAGTGCTAAGAGCTTGTCTCTTAAAATTGTCTTCTTTGTGTCCCATATGTTTGGATTAATATGGTTTCATTTCCACTTAATTCCATAACATTTTTGATTTTCTTTTAGGTTTCTGTTTAGACATATTTTTCATTCAGTAGTGAGTTGTTTACTTGTTATAAGTTTGTATACTTTCTACTTTTTTGTTGTTTTTGATAGCTAGCATTTATCCATTGTATCAGATAGGATACAGGGTGTTATTTCAATTTTCTCATATTTGTTTAAATTTGATTTGTATCTTGATATATGCTCAATTTTGGAGAAAGTTGTATGAGCTTCTGAGAAGCACGTATTTTCTTTAGATTTTGAGTGGAATATTCTATAGATGTATGCTACACCCATTTGCTTTATAATGTTACTTAACTCTTATATTTCTCTATTTATTTATTTTTTTATGGACAAACAGTTGGTCACAGTGGGGCATTGAGGTCACCCACTATCACTGTGTGAGAATTAATATGTGATTTTTTTTATCTGCAGTAGTGCTTCTTTATAAAAATAGGTGCCTTTGTGTTTGATACAGAAATGTTTAGAATTGTAATATCCTCTTGGTGAATTTTTTCCTTATATTTAGTAACCTTTCCTATCTCTTTTTTTAAATGAAAAAATACGCTCATGTTTATTTTGTATTCCAAACACCCCCATCTCTAACATTTGCACAAATACCACAGAAATAATATTAATGTCCAACAATTTTAAGACTAGCTTAAAAGTATGATGGTTGGTCCATCTATGATTTCTCAGGCTTATTTCCACAGCATGGGAGGCCCATCTGCTTCCTTTGGTTTCAAGGGAAGAAACACCACAGAACAGGTCTCCTAATATTGTCCTGTGTACAACCTGCAGCTGATCCTTGCTTCAGGGGTGGAGAGATGAACTAGGTTACTGAGGATATCTGGCTGTCCGGGAACCAGGGACTGGGAGGTTGGCTGCTCCCATCCTGGCCCAGGCTCTTGTTTTACTTCTTTTTTTGGGGGGGGGTAGAATTTATATTTTCTTTTTTCCCCTATCTATTTTGATTAGTTATAGTTTAAAGTCTATTTTGTCAGATATTCCAAAAGCTTTACCTGCTTGTTTCCTAGTTCCATGTGCTTGGAATATCCTTTTTCCATCCTTTATACCTAAGGTGATATTTGTCCTTGATGGTGAGGTGTGTTTCTTGCATGCAATAGAAAGATGGATAATGTCATCAAATCCACATCTTAATTTGTATCTTTTAATTGGGTACTTGAGACCATTCATACTGAGAGTTATTAATGAACAATTTTTATTAATTCATATTATTTTGTTGTTATGGTATGGACTTTGCCCCTCTTTTTTAATGTTCTGGGATTATTTATTACTTGTGCCATCTTGAATGCAGTCAGCTTTAAGACTGAAGTTTTTCGTTTTTCCTTCTTTAGAGCTGCGTCGGTAGACTGCTTAAATATGCTTTCACCAGGGAATGCTTTTCTTTGTCAGTTCTATTTTATAGTGTTTCTGGGGTTAGTAGCCTAGACTGTGATCTGCTGTTTCTAGGAGTGTGCATAACATACATGTTGCCCTTCTGATGTACAGGGTATCCACTAAAAAAAAAAAAATCAGGACTGAGAAGTCATTGACAATGGCACTGGGTCTTGTTTCGTCTGCATGTACTGGCTTTTTGGGATCCTAGTCTGTTTGGATGCTCACCTTCCTAGACTTGGAGGGAGGAGGGAGGAACTTGAACTTCCCACAGAGCAGGAAACCCTGACTGCTCTTAGGACTGGAGAGGGAGTGGGGGGAATGGGAGGGTATGGGAAGGAGGGGAGGATGTGAAAATTTTTATAAATAAATAAATAAATAAGTAAATAAAAAAATCAGATGTTATTCTAATGACTCTTCCTTTATATGTTACAAGGTATTTTCCTCTTGTAACACCCATTGATCTATACATTTAGTGTTTTGAATAAAATGTATGGTAGGGAATTTACTTTCTATTTTTATCTATTAGGTGTTGCTTATGCTTCTTATACTTTTCATAATGTCATAGATTTTCTGGATGTTTTATACTTGGATTTTTAAAAGAGTTAAAATTTTCACCAGGTGGTGGTGATGTGCAACTTTAATCCCAGTACTCAGGAGGCAGAGGCATTCTTATCTCTGTGAGTTTGAAGCCTTTTGGTCTACAGAGAGAGTTGTAGGACTCTCAGATCTACACAGAAAAATCCTGTCTAGAAAAAAACAAACGAAAATATCAACATTTTCTTTGACTGAACTGTTCATTTCTTCTACCCTTTTTCCAATTCTTAAAATGTTCTCTTTCCAGTTCTTTACTCTGTTGGTTAGGATTACCCCCTTGAGTTTTTCCTCCAGCTTTATTTCAGTTTGTGTTTTCATCAGTGATTTTTTTCTTTCTATTCCCATTTCTGGAATAGTTTTAATTTTTTATTCAGCTATTTGTGTTCCATGGTCTTCATTAAAGAGGACATAAAGAAGACTTATGTAAAATTGCTATTTTGAAGTCTCTGTCTTGTATTTCAGTTAAATTTCTTTCTCCAGGAGATATTACAAATAAGGTTTCTGGCTTCTGGGGGATGCATATTGTCTTGATTGTTCATATTTTTGTTTTTTTCTTGGATTCAGGCATCTGGAGTTATTACATTTGAAGTGATTTTGGTGTCTTGTTTTTGTTGTGTGGCTGTTCTTTTCTTTGTTTGCTGTTGCCCAATCTAGATCCTAGCACATTGTGGTGGTCCTTGATTCCTACCCTAGAGTGGTGGTTGTGGGGTTCTTGTTAGAGAGTCATTCTGAGTTTCCATGGGGAGTTCACAAAGGAATTAGTTGATTTGGAAGTCATGGCTGAAGAGTGCAGGAGAAAGAACTAAGGCTAATTTGGACCTGGGTTTGCACCAAGTCCCAAAGGGACCGAAGTAGACTGGGAGGAGGGGCTGAGGTAGGTAGAAAGTGGCAAACTTAAAAGTACAGAGAGATCTGAATGGAGGACAGAAAAGAAAAAAGTAGTAGGAAGGAGAAAAAGTGTGGTCTTTAATCTTTTTGAGATTAATGCTTTTTCAGACATCTATGGTGGTTCTGTGTCTCTGGTATAAACAAATTCTGTGTGTCAGCAGGCAGTCACAAAGGAACGAAGATGGGTTAGAAGGAATGGCTGAAAAGGGCAGAAGAAAAGACTTAAGTGGGCCCTGGATCATGGTTCGGCACAAAACGACAGTCCCAAGCATATACCTCTATTTCATATCATTATCATTAATTTGACCAATTGTTTCTTTTAAACTGGAGCGCATTTTTTTGTGCTTCTTTTTCTAACTGCTTATTTTTTCTTATTTTGGGCCTTAGTAACTTCAGTAGACTATTAGAAGATTTCCCTTATCACCTAGCACAATCCTGCTATAGTTTCTACCCATTACTTTACATAAAATAAAACTGATTGAAAAAATATTTTACCCCAGAGTATTTTATTAGAGATTCCTGCCACCATATTAACAGACAAACAATCTGGATGTTGACATAGAAATGCTAATTCCAGTATACAAAGATACAGTTAATATGGCCTCCATATCTTTTGTTACTTCAATGAAATTAACTCATGGTAAATTCTTCCCAGAATTATGTTCATAAATATTAGACAAACTACAAAATATACTGTAAATACATAACACACATTATGCTTCAAGCTCAGAAATATATGATCCTTTACTTACATCATTCTCATTATAGAGCTCATATTAGCACTAAAAACAACTATGTGTATATTTACTTGTTCTCTTTCTCTCTCTCTCTCTCTCTTTCTGTGTATGTACACAAACCCACAAATGTACACAAAGTACTTTCATGAAATAATCAAGTACTTAAGACTCTAAATATCTTGATATCACAGTATCTGAGAAAGAAAGGAACAAAAGTATTACACAAATTTCTCACCTGGGACAAAATTAGCACAAGTAAGTATGTATGAAAGGCATGTGGGTTATATCTATACAAACACATAAATACATATCTTTTATAAATATGCATATAACAATGATACAGAATATTCAAATTCTCATGTACTTGCTTTGAACTCTCAATCTCATTATTCTACATACTATATTTTGAAGAATGTCTTCTTCATTTATCTAAACAACTGATTAAATCTTTCTACAATAAATGGATATTTCGTAAAGGCTTTAATTCTGTACCAAATAAATGGCATTATAGGAGTCCAGTGTTAGGCTTTGTTATTATTGTTTTAATTTAGAAGTTCCTACTCTGTCTTTCATTGAAAGTATTTCTACTCCACAATGAACTGTTCCTCAAGAGAAGGGTGATGCAAACTGTAAATGCTAAAACTGTCTGCATCTTGCTCCTTATTAATCTGCATGCATATATTGTATTTTATATCTGTCTTGTTTTCTTTTTACATTTTATAATATAAACATGCTATCTCCATAATTTAAAAATATTATTTAACTTACACATTATTTTTAAAAGAGGAAGGCCAGATGAATTATCTTGGCCAGCACTTCAAAGGCAAAATGAAGCACAATTAAACAGGTGAGTAATTTTTTTATCAACTGCACTTGAGTTTTCCCATTCTAGAGAGCATGATTTCAAAGTCATATAAAAGAAAAGGAGAAAAATTAAAAATTCAACCAAAATGCTGATCAGTAGCAAACTTTCAAAAATGTCTTAATGTCCAAGTCATAGAAAATATATTTCTATATCTGTATAAATCATGGATGCAATAGCAAGTATATATTATAATGCATTCAACTCAAAGACCCTAGGCTGACTTTCAAAGTTTACTTTCAAAATAATCATCTAACAAAACACTCAGAGCTGCACTAAGTAAGCATGACTGTAGTGTAGTATATAGAGATTGTGTGTCCAATCCCTTTATAACCAAAGCAATGTGATATTTTCAACATAGGTAAATATGTTGTAATCTCTATACTTCTTTGATTCTTACTCCTTATACAGTGTTGGTAAGTGACCAGCAATGGAAAGCACCAGATGTTTTCTATCTTGGGTCAACTGATATGAAGGAATTTACCATTTCTTTTGTCTGCTATTCTCTTCCATTGTCTACTTTATCCAAACAGAATTGGTGTATCATCTGATGGTTCACATCATTGTTTCAATGGAAGCCACAATTACAAGAGTTTAGAACTTAAAGAAATCCATAAAGGAAATCTCTCTCTCTCTCTCTCTCTCTCTCTCTCTCTCTCTCTCTCTCTCTCGTGCACGCACGCGAGAGTACACACACACACACACACACACACACACACACACACATTGAAATTTCAACCAGAGAATCACAATGAAAGCATGAGGGATCCCAAAAATTCACCTTAAAATTTCTCCACTTTTATTAACTAAACACGATTTTATGAACCCAGAAAGTGAGTACGCAGCTCTTTACATTAAGTTCCATATATCACCATCACTTCTATAAAAGAAACCCTAAGCCTATCACCTCTGGCCTAGCCGTCTCACCAGAACTCTTCTTTGCTACTTTCTATTTGCCAGACTCATGCCTGCTTTCACATAGATTAGTAAACAATAAACAATTGACTAGTGGATCTTTTACAATTTTACTACTGCAAGTAGCATCAATTTCTTTAAAAAAAAAAACACTCTGCTTTCCCAGCTCAAATATATGAGCAAAATGCAAATGAAATTATAAGATTATTTTGTCCAAAACTTTGAAAACTGGACCCCACAATGTCAACTCAGTGTTCTCTTTGCTTACATCTTTCAGTTCAATCATCTTTTTTTGAGTACTTACTATAGTTTTTTACTATCTTTTTACAAAGTCATATGCAGATAATAAATTATGGGATTAGTTAGCCAAAAAATATCTTTAAAAAAATCAGGTGCCAAAACACTAAAAAATTCCATGTGTATTAGTTTTACAATATGTATACTTAAATAACTCCAGAAAGCTTTTTTTTGCTAAAAATTTACCAAAATAGTTAGAACACATAAAAATATTTTTTTAAAAAAACTGAAAAAACCCCAGCATCAACTTATTTGTATAGGCATCAGTAAGAGGACATTATTTTCACCAAAGGTTATATTAAAAAGATTGTATTTTTACTAAAATTCTGATTCTGAACACTATAGCTCACAATAAAGAGCTAACTAACTCCAATGTACTATGTATTATGGTATGATAAGGAGATTTTTTTTTGATTACTTCAAGGCTGCCTTTCTGAAGGATAATTAAACGAGTTATATTTGATTTAAATTTACTTAAGTTTAATTTCAAGGTTTGAGCACTTAGTTAAGAGAAAAAGCTAACCAAAACCTACTGAAAATGATATCACTACTATTGAAGATAGCCCTTAGTCTCATCAGACATGAACCTATGAACAACCGAGCATACAGAGGAAGATGTTGACTCTTTCAGCCACCCAATCTTTCAGGGGACAGTAATATTCATAGTGAAACTGCTCAAACTCTGGTGTCTGACGGATTTCGCATAAGAAGGAGAGATCAATACCTGACTCCAAAAGGAGGAGGAGCAGGGGAAATACAAACAGCAGCAGTCCCAGGCCCACCACAAGGAGCCTGGAGAAACTCTTGACCAAGGGGTTGACCCAGATATGGCCGGTCAGGATGGAATAGCTCCACGACAAAGCTTGACGAGCTTCCTTCAGCTCCTCCTCTTCAGCCATCAAAAAGGCATTTTCATCTGCTTCCAGTTCCTCAAACGAATCTGTGTCTTCTCTTTCTAACTCAAGCCTAGATGGACAGTCAAAGAGCATGTTGATTTCATCATCATCCACTGGGGTAGGGAGCAGGCTGGCACTGGGATTGTACGCTAGTTCAGAGATGGTCAAGGGGTCTTCCACTTTATCTTCCTCTTCACTCAGAGGATCTGCACTCCGAGCTCCCTTCACTGGTGAGCTGACAGTCAGTGGCTCAGAAACATCTGCTTTTGGCAATGGGGCACCTAGTAAAAAACATTATTTTATAAAGTTTAAATTTCAGATTTGCTAGGTTATAAAAATCTGTAGGTAGAAACATGGAGAGTTCAAGGAATATGTTAGACTACTCAGTGGCATATTAGTATTTGACAAAATCACATTAGTAAATTCTCAGCTCAACATGATAACCTAAAATAAACAATACTAATCAATATTTTGAAGTACATAAAACAGTTAAGTATAATATGTGGTCTGAAAACCTTAAACTAGAGTCAAGTCTTTAAGAAAAATAGAAAATGATGTAGGAGTACGTGAAAATTACAAATGATGTCTTCCAGAGTTTGATACTATAATATAATAGAGTATTATATGAATTTACTTTACGGGGATAATTGAGTGATTATTTTGAAGCATTGATTTCTATTCTTTATTCCAAGCACACTTTTGGTATTTCTATTGTTATTATTATATGAGGTGAATATGTAATTCACAAGTCCAAAATAAGAAAAGCCCTGATATCCAGAAAATTTAAAGCAAATCAAAGTTAAAGGTTTTAGTTCATTTTTACAGATTTCAGACACTGAGATTAGCAACACTCACGCATTAAAGTGTTCTCAAATTTCCCAAAATCAGAAGGAAAAAAACCTGTGAAATCTGATTTATTTTAGGGCCTTAAACATTTGGTGTATATAATCATCAGTCTGTAATTGCAGTCATGTGGTATCTACAAACTTACACTTTCTTTTTTATTCTGAAGAACTACTTTCCACATTGTTTTTTTTAGTTAAAATAATAAATACACAGAGCAAAGAAATAATATTGAAAGCTGCAAGATAAGGTTGTTGTACATAAGGAGAGGCCCTTCAGAATACCTGTATGTTCGCAATAGAAAGTAACATCCAGAAGGTTGTGGAGAACTCTCTGTATTTAGCTATTTCATGGGCATATTTGTGGGTGGGACTGTCTTAATTAAGTTAACTTATCTTACTAGCCCACTGTGGGTGGTACCATTCCCCAGGCAAGGGATCTTGGGCTGTATGAGTGAACAGACATGAAGTTGAGCAAAAGTAAGCAAGTTGGGGGTATGTATACATTTCATTTTCTTCTCTTGACTGTTGATATAATCTAAATTTCTGGTTCAGGCTTCTGACACTGTGACTTCCCCACAATGATAGACTATAACCTGAAACTGTAAGATGAGATAAACCCTGTCTCCCCTAAATTTTCCTTTTCAGGATGATGTATCATAACAGAAATGACAAATTTCTGTATTTTTCTGTAGACAAATTTCTGTATTTTTCTGTAGAAAAATCTACAGATGAGAAAAATTTTAATCGGTTAACAAATATGCCTAAGATTTATGTGTCTTTCACCTATATTTTATTTTGTTGGCGTATTTCTTATTTATTTATTTATTTATTTTGGTTTTTCGAGACAGGGTTTCTCTGTAACTTTGGAGCCTGTCCTGGAAGTAGCTCTTGTTTACCAGGCTGGTCTCAAACTCACAGAGATCTGCCTGCCTCTACCTCCTGAGTGCTGGGATTAAAAGAATGTGCCACCACCGCCCAGCTGGTATATTTTTAAAATACTGATTGCAGAAGAAAAATTTTCCCTCACAACATGGATGCATGAATTTTTCTACTTTGTCTGCTAAATTACTGACAAATGATAATTTTGTAATTAAAATATTATTTTTTCTTTGCTGATGACACAAGAAATTGCATTCAAAACCACCATTTGAAATTCTGCATTGTTACACTTCATTACAAGAATAAAAATGGTCAGTATTTCAAGAAAAAAATGCAGCAAATCCTATTTATGGATATGGTATGCCTTAATCCTGAAATCGCAGGTTTTCTTTTTGGCTTTTATTTAAGAAAGAAACTTGTCACTGTTTTGGTTTTTTCATTATAAAGTTATCTAGCCAATTTCTATGTCTTGTTCTCATACATGCCAGAAGGGAGGTCTGCTTTCTCATTATCTCTCATCATCTCAGTGGGTGTCTGTGCCAGTAAAGTCTGTGAAGATGTGAACAAAACAGGTGCCTGGACATCTGATGGGCAGGCCAGCTGATCTAATTCAGTCACCTTTCTCTGTGCCTTCATGTAGCACAGCCTGGTGAGGATAATATATGTTACCACGTTTCTGGGAATTCACGCCACTCCTGCTCTACAGGCACACTGCCTGTTTTCTCTTAAGCTCTATGTATAATTAACTTCTTTAGAAACTTAGTCCCCCACTGGTCTGTTAATTTCATTTTGTGTAAATTTATAAGTCAAGTATCTAGAGACACGGGCCTGAGATGGCTTTGGTAGTCACTGATTTTCTGGGACCCAACTCTTCCCTTCCTTAAGCTACAGACAACCAGAAGTTAAAAAGCCACAGGTACTCTCAAGGACACCCAATTTTCCCCACATCATTGATGTGTTAGGCCAGGAACTTTGATTTCTGTATTCAGAGGGTGAGTGCAGAAGTCAATGCCCTATGTGCTCTCTGCTTTAAGTTCGCCATTACCCCAGACACACATGCATGCACATACAGACACTTTCCTACCTCCCAACTCATTTTCACACTTACATACACTTCTGTTTCTCTTTACATTTTCCTTTATTTAAGCCTCATTCTTCTTTTCCCTTTCCATCTTTTATGAGTCTAGGAATGAACACCCTTCCTGCACCACTAACACTGGGTTTGTTCCTAAAAAGAGAAGCATCAACAAACAGATGGCTGGACAGTGTGACTCCGTGGCAACCCAGCATTGCATCTGGGGCCATTGCATATATCCACCTGGGGCCAAACAATCAATTGATGTGTGTTGGACAACCCACCCCCAGAAATGGGAAGGAGGCTTCTGAAGCTGTATTGAAACTACCTTACTATTTTGGACAGCTGCAATGCACTAGGTGCTAGGCTGGCACTCTGGTTCCGCAGGGTCCTAGTGTCTGTTCTGTGTTGAACATCTGCAGGCTGGTTTTATTATTTGAAGGGGACACTGTTATTTCCACTCTCAGAATTGCTCCACAGTTTTGTTTATTTTTATTTTGCTACAAGGTGCTCTCTTTCCTCTTTGCTTTTGTTTTCACTTTCCAGTGACTGTGACGTGGACAGGGTCAGGGAAAAGAGCTTCTGGATACCATCTCTTTCTGAGTTCATCCAGACATTTTTTTCCCCCTATGTTCTGTAGTTTCTAGATTATGGGCACTTAAATTCAAGTTACCTGTGGTAAACTAAAGTGTGTCTTTTAAATTAAGGGACTTTCCTTAAGTGAGAAATTCATTCCTAGCACTATAATGTTTGCCTCTTACCTAGCCTGGGGAAAATAAGATGAACTAGCTGATTAAAATATTGGAAACAAAGAGGTCCAGAGGAAATGTCTAAAGAGAATATCAAAGGTGCAACAGAAAAGATTCCCCACACCTTATATAATCATTAGAGATTGGCTTCTTTCCTAGCCATTCAATGGTTACTTAGAACATTTAATTTATGGTGATTCCAGTATGAGAGTCAGTTAGAGTAATGGTGATGAGACTGGTTAGATGTGGTTGCGTCTGATGCGCCACTTTTTCTCACAATGGTACTTGAAAGGAGAGGTCTTATCAGTGACAGCAGCTGGTGTGCTGGGCCTCTCCTCATGCTTGCTTAAGAGGCAAGGAGAGAAGAATAATGGAAACTCGCCAGATGATGCTCCATAAAGAAGGCAGCAAGAGAGATACGAACTGCGTCCAATATATCTTCTCTTGTTTTACAGATAGGGAGCTGTTTATCTTTAACAAAGATTGCTGCAGACTGAATCCTTATGTACTGGCAGCTCTTCAATTCATATATCTTACAAAAAATGCCTGCTATTGTTTTGTACTTGAGCTTGGCCTGGATATAAATCAGATAATAGAGAAAAACGGCCTTCAGATGGGAGTACTACTTTTAATATAATTTTATAATTATATATGTTTTGCAAGGCAAAAAAGTAAATGGTTTGAGGTTCTTTATTTATTCTTTGCTCAACTCAAACATACACCTGGAGTCATATGCGGACCCAGCACTTCAGTGTGTCCTCATACCAGGGGATTTCCAAGCTGTTAATGGCCTCTTATAGGTTCAGTCACTCTTATGACAAGTTCATTTCCCTCTTTACCTTCATCCACATAAACCAGTGTTTCTTAATCTTCCTAGTTTCTTATGCTGTGCTGACTCCCAACCATAAAATTATTTTGTTGTTCCTTCATAACTGTAAATTTGCTACTATTATGAATGGTATCTGATATTCAGGATATCTGATATGTGACCCCCACAGCAGTTGTGTCCCACAGGTTGAGAACTGCTGCAATAAATCCTTATTGGCTTTGAGTTGACAATACTCCATGGTACCCTTCTATGCTCTGCTTTTTTTGATCCAATTTAAGAATCTATAATAAATAAAACTTCATTATGAATTCATCCTCTCAGTGTCCCTCATTTTCAATGCATGACTTTGGTGACCAATGATTTTTCCAGGACCCTAGCCCTCCTAGCTTTCTTGAGGCTAGTCACCTTCTATCTCTCTAAAGTATACTCCACTTTTTCTCTACCATCTTTTTCCCACTTCCCCATCTTCTTCACATGCTTTCTTAGGTATACAAGACTCCCTTCCCTTTCTATGCCACCCAAAAATCATACAGTCTGACTACAAGCCCATACTATGTACTATTCATCAACCACAGGGCAAATAACAGTTCCCCTTTGAGATTCATTATGAGGAACACACATTTGCTTAGACTATCCTATAAGAACTTTAACCTGCTCAAAATCTTCTTGAGCCAAAGTCTTAATTTTTTTTAACTCTGACATCACTTAAAAGTGGTTGAGTGTTGCTCATATATTACTTTATTTTATGACTATAAAAATTAATATTGGAAAAGTGATGTTTATCTACGGCACTAAGCATTTTGGCGAGGAACCAAGATAAACAGTGCTTTTGTCCCAAATAGAACCAGAGCAACAATTTGAATCTCCATTGTATTTCCAATAAAAAATACTGTACTTCATAAAA